TTTCTAGGTACAGGAAATAAAGTTGTGAACATGACCACTAGGTGCCTACTCTCATTTAAGGAGACAAACAAATAGTTAAACAAAAGTTTCAGACAATGAACAGCTCAAACAAGAAAATAAGGAAAGTCTTTGGATAGATTTCAAAGCTCCAAGAAGAGAGATTTTTATCTGTTGTGCTCGCTGGCTTAGCACTACTGCCTGTCACATACTTGATGCTAAATAATTGATTGATTGAATGAAGTGGTAGTGATCCGTGGTGAGTGAGTGGTTACAGAAGGCTCATACAGGAAGTGTGCTGGACCTTAATAGCAAGAAATAAGCTGTGTGCACATGAACAAAGTACAATAGGACGATTTAAAATGAATAAACAAACAAAATGCAGAGGAATTAAAAGAATGGAATTGATGGGCTTGAGAAACAGAAGGAAAGACTTTGCTGGGGTTACTTTAAGGAGCTTGGGTGACTCTTGGGAAGCTGGATACCAAAAGACCCACTTCAGCATGGTTGGCAAGTTCCAAGAGCTGCATCCTGGAACTTCCTGCTTGACTCGGAGGCAGCCCCACTGAAGACTCTCCTCTCCCCTAGCAATAATTTACAGATTACAAAGCCTTGGAGAGGGGCCTTTGAGCCTTGTAACTTCCTGAGCTTCTTGAGTTATAAGTTTATGGGTTTCCTGAGCCTCATGAGTTTCCTTGCTTGCTTAGGTGAGATGGGATTCCCTCCTTCCTTCGGTATGGATTGTTTCCAACAGGAAATGCAGATCAAAAGTACACAGATTCCGTCCCACCGGTCAGAATGCTTATTATCAAGAAAACAAATACTGGGAAGGATGTGGAGAAAGGAGCAGTGCTTACACACTGCAGCTCTGATTGGGAATTAGTGCAGCTACTATGGACATCTGTATCAAGGTCACTCAAAAACCAAAAAAAGAACTATGGAACCAGAGAGATGACTCAGTGGTTCAAAGTGCTTGTGATCCTGCAGAGGACCAGACCTGGGTCCTCATCATCCATCTCTGGCAGCTGACAACCACCTATAACTCGAGCTTGAGGGGATCTGGTGCCCTCTCGTTGCCTCTGCTGGCAACAGCCCACATCTGCACATGCACAGGTGAACACACACACACATACATAAATAATAAAATAACTCTTTAGAAAATGTCATTACATTGCACTTAAGAAAAATAACTATTGTATCATCCAGGTATACAAATCCTACATGTGTACCCAAAGAAATCAAAGTCAGCATATGATAGAGATGACTATATATCCTCATTTACTGCACCCATATCACAACTGTCTATTTATGAACTCAACATAGGTGCCCAACACTGAGTGCATGAATAAAGAAAATTAAGCATGTATACAGAAAGTTTGGGGTTCTTTTAGATGGGGTCTCCTTGTAGCCCCAGCTGGCCTAGAACTGGTTATGTAGACAAGGCTGGCCTCGATCTCACAGAGATCCCTCTACCTCTGCCTCCTGAGTGCTGGAATTAAAGGCATGCACCACCACACCCTAGCTTCACCATAGAGTTTTATTCAGCCTTAAAGAAAAGTAAAATTATGTAGTTTCTAGGGAAATAGATGAAACTGGAGGTCAGCATGTGCCACTACACCAGCATTGCTAAACATTATTAAAAGTCTCGAATCGATGAGTGTCTGACATATGTTTCTGTTTGAAGTTTACCTTAGACAGTGATTTCTCTGCTACTTTACATAGCATGTATCAGCGCTCTGGCCTTTTGATGGAACAAAGGAGAGAAATGGACCATAAAGAGAAGGCAGCCTCTCCAGCAGCAAAGCAGCAAGGGGCAAATGTCTGTCAGTTTCCCATCACCTAGAGAAGAAAGTCCAGCTTCTTCAGCATGGGATCCAGACCTTACACATTGCCCTATCTTGCCTCTCTTCTATGATTCATTCGTCAATAATTTTTTTGAGGAGCCAGCTGTCTTTTAGGTACCACAACAAATTCTGGGGTTTATATTCACTGCTTATGGTAGAACTTGTGTTAGTTGGCATGAGACTATGGACTTTAGGCAAGAAACAGGGGGTATCCCTATGCATGCCTATAACCCCAGTCTGTGAGGGGTGTAGACAGGAGAATCTCTGGAGCTGGCTTATTCCTATCCTAACTGCAGGTTCAATGAGAAACAGATGCTGTGTTATACTCACATTCCCCTAATGCCAGCTCAGCACTTGTCAGCATAACTTGTGTGATTGTCAGGTCTCAGGTGAGAATGATTTAACTCAGAGGCGATCCCTCTGTTTCTCTGGTGGCCCTCAGACAGGTAAGCTCTATGGGGTAGTTATGGGCCATGCCGACTCTCCTATGCTAGTCAGGCAGCAGGCATCTGACGTCAACAATATGGCGGCCGCATTCCTGAAATGATAACTCACAAAATACTGTAAGGCATCCCCTAGATTTATAACCAATAAAATCCTTTATCACACATAAAAAGATCTGTAGTTTTCAATAACAAAAAGTAGGTTCCCAGACACTTCTTCCTAAATGTATGTGAAATAAGTAAAGAATATCCAAATTTGAAAACCACAAAACCATGTCCCTTCTAGGAGCACTTTCACATCACAGTGAAATAGCCACAAGCAGTGCTGTGGCTTAGCTGGAGTGAAGATCAGGAACGTGTGGGAGAGACCAAGCAGGATGCAGATCACCAGGTTGGGAGGGACTTGTGAACCAGGTGAGAGACTTGGGCTCCACCTTGAGAACAGAATTGGGTGACAGTAGCAGGTTAAATCACCATTAAAGTTTCTGCGAGATCTGAGATGAGAGAGACAGAGACAGAGACAGAGAGAGAGAGAGAGAGAGAGAGAGAAAGAGAGATGGTTACTCTTAGTTCATGTTTAAAATCTTCTTTTGAAAATCCCATCCAGTAAAGCCAGGAGCCTTGACAATCTGAGTTAGATTCTCAGGACCCACATGAACCAACTCCTGCAAATTACTCTCTGCATTTAGCAAGTGCCCACACTGTGATATTTACATATGGGCATCCCTCTCCCTACAAGTACATAAATGAAAAAAAAATAATTAAAAAACAAGCAGCATGGAATATTCTTTGCGGACAACAAAGATATGAACATTATTCCATTTATATTGCAAACAATAGATGAGCTTAAATTGATAACATTTGATTTTGGTTCTGTGAATGCTGGTCTAAGTCCAGGGATCAGAAAGGGCAAAATTCTTCTCTGATAAGGGTCCAGGGGCTGGAGGGATGGTTCAGTGCCTGCTCTTCCAGAAGACATGGGTTCAATTCCCAGCATCCATATGGTGGCTAACAACTGTCTGTAACTCCAGTTCCAGGGAATTTGATACTATCTTCTGGCAAGACACGGTGCTCTTATATACATGCAGGCAAAACACTCATACACATAAAAATAAAAATAAATAAAAATATAAAAGGTAAGAATCCAACTTTTACTTCCCCATTTCATGCTGGGTGTGCTGTTTCCATAAAAGAAATATCAAGGCCTTAACAGTTCAGAGAGCATTCTGAAGGGATAGGTTTTCAGCAGTTTTGGTCTGCTCTTAGCTTAAAAATAGATTCTAAGTGTCAGGTTGTGTGGGGTCTCCCCCTCCCCTCGTGGGTCGTTGGCCACCGTTCCACGAGGACAAAGGGAGCAGAAGCGATGAACGGGGTCAGGATGGCCAGTTAGCACTGATGGAAGAAAGCCCTTCTGGGGAGGCAGGTTCAGTGATATAGCTCCAGACTCAGTGAAACAGCTCATTTATTCAGTGGGGGTTAGGGAAAATATAGTGTGGAGGCAGCAGCCAAAGCTTCAGCTGATAGGTGCTCATAGTATGCTTTATTTACATGTGGTAGCAGGATCCTATTATCTGGCTATAGGGCAATGCCTAATTATCATATAGAAAAAAGCTGGGGGCAGTTTTATTGCAGCTAACTATGCCAAAGGTCATGTTTCAAATGAGGCCAAGCATCCATGCTTGGTGGCACTTTCCAGGTAAGTCAGGCAGGAAGCCCCTGCTGAGAAAGGAGCTGACCTTAACAGCAGGGTTCCCCAACAAGGTTGTTTTAATTCAGGCTTAGCTATAATGTGGCATCCCATAGTAAATGCTGCTAAACTACATTGTTAGACTTGTATAATGCATGCCCATCCTAAAATCATACCAACTTGAAACCAATTCCACATTGGCCTGTGTAAGATCAGAAACAAGGAGCACTTCTTAGGAGTCTTGTTAAGTTTTGAGTCTAAAATGTCCTCCAAACACTTACATGCTAATGTCTTACTTCCCAGCTGATAGAGCTTTATGGAAGCAATTGTTTAATAAGCATTCTCATTTATTAGTGGGTTATTGCATTGATTGAGCCAGGTGTGATGGCCACTATTGGGAAGAGATGAAGACTCGGAAGGTGGGACCTATTTGTAGGAAGTAGATCACTAGTAGTTTTTTGCCTTTGAAGGGTATTTCCTTCTAAGCTTTTGTGTATCTTTCTCTCTTCTTCCTGCCTGTAATAAGGTGAACAATACAATCCACATATTCCCCATTATCATGTCTGTCACACTATGTGGGGGTCCTAGAAGCAATTGGACAAGTGACCATGGAATGAAAGCTCAGAAACTATGAGCTAAAACAGTTTGATTCTCTTGAAAATTGTTTCCTTCGGGGAAATTTTTTTTCACAGGGAGGAAAAAACTGACCAGCACAGGCATGCTCAAAGATATTAGAACATCAGAACAAATGACCTGGTGCCAAGAAGAAAGACCAAAGACCGTTTGACTCTCAACTTCCAGCACTAAGTCTTTCTCCACAGTGCCAAGCTCCCCATTACAGTCCTTATACTTTATTAATAAAAATAAGCCCCTGGGGTATAAATTCCCACCAAATAAGTGTTCCTGGGCATGAAAGGGTGTTTTAGTTCTGGTTTTATTTTCTTACTCAGAAGTCCCTTTTTCATGTTAATAATTAATAAGAAATTCAATTTATCTAATTTTTCCACATTCACTTCAGTTAAAAGGAAGAAGCTTCAAAGAGGTAATCTCTGTGAGTTTTGCACCATCTCAAGCCATGGGCTTTTGGGAAATACTTTGTTTCATAATTTTCCTGGAGAAAAGCTGGGGACAGGAACAAAGGTAAGTAAAGTAAATCATCTTCATTTTATCCTGCATGTGATTACCAAGAGTGAAAAGTAGACCCAGCAGATTGTGACGATTTGATTCTGTCTCCCTCTGAGAGCATCAAGTGGGTGGTCTAAGTTCTGAATGAGAAAGTCATGGCAGTGTTTTGAATCCATGAGTGGCCAAGAAAATGACTGCTTTTGTGGGACTGCTGTAAAAAATTATGTAAGTGATTATGGAAGCTGCTCTTCAACAAAAAGCATAAAGTAAACTCAAGACAATAAACTCTCGGCATTTATTGCTTATTTATATTTGGCACTTAGTTTTCTGTGTTTCTTGGTATTACTACACTTAAGTCAGAGTTACTTGGGAATGACTTCTAATTCTGTGATTGAAAAGTATTGCATCCTGATATTGTAAAATGCATCTCTAATCCCAGCACTTTAGAGGATGAAGTGGAGGGATGACAGGCTCAAGGTCATTTTGGAAGAGCTACCAAGACCTCATCTTAAAACCGAAACTAAATAAAAATTGCTGTAATTATGTTTGCATTTATGAGATGAATCTTTACATTTAGGAGATGAATCTGTGATTTTAAACAGAGACAAATAATGACCTCACACCCAGAGATATATTTTAGCACTGAAAAGTAACTGGAGATCATCTAACTGAACTATTTATTTAATATATGAGGATAAGTCCAGATAAGGGAAATGACTGGACAAAGGTCACACTGCTAGAGTGAGCAGGAACAAAATTTTATTAAGGTCTGTTTACCACTTCAGATTTTCCCCCTTTAAAACAAAATCAATGTATTCATCTGAATATACTATAATTATAAATGTATACCCAGGATGTGATCAGTTGATAGTCCTCTCCCACCTTTAGTGTTCAATTTAGTCACCTAGCCACAGTCACCTTTAGCATTTTATTTATTTATTTATGTTTTATTTTTATTTATTTATTGATTGATTGATTTATATGAGTGTCTGCCTGCATTATGTGCACCTGTGTCATGCAATGCCTGAGGAGGCCAGAAGAGGGTTTTTTGGATCCCTGGAACTGGAGTTATGAATCATTTTTAGCTGCCATGTGGGTGCTGGGAACCCATCCTGGGTCCTCTGCAAGAGCAGCCAGTGCTCTTCTCTGCTGAGCCAGTTCTCTAGCCTACCTTTAGTATTTTTATGCCCTTTTTACAGTCAACTAGCTCAGCTTCACAGAGATCATGATTGATCAATTTTACACTAGTAGCAGAACGAGGGCCAGAACCTGGGCTCCCATGATTCTTGTCTAGGAATATTCTCAATTCTTTCTACTACACTGCACTGGCTTTTCGTAAAAGGTGACTCTTACTTTCTCTAAATACGAAAGTGTATCATGAATACATAGTAGGTAATCACTTAATGGATCGATTGTTGTTAAGTATTCCCTGGGTATAGTGGGCCTAGGAGGCGCTGTAATTACCTTTCTAAATATAAATCTAACACCCAGCCCTGTTTCTCAGGGTTTAATTGCAAATTATTTCTTCTTGAAAACTATGCTGAATTTGTCATAGATCACAAAATAAATTTTTATAGTATTCATGCTGAAATCTATCTGTTGGAAAATGGATCTCAAGTGAGATAAAAATGCATCAGAAATATAAGAATATGTATCATATAAAGATATTGAGTTTTTCCTTCTGTTTCAATAGATATAGCATTTCAGTACCAGAAGTCTTCCGTGTTGAAGCATCTGAAAATATTACAATTCAAGCTCATGGATACACAGAAGCATTTGATGTAACAGTCTCTATTAAAAGCTATCCTGATAAAAAATCAAATTATTCCTTAGGATCTGTTAATTTATCACCAGAAAACAAATTCCAAAACTCTGTAAACTTAACAGTATGTATCTTTTGTATATATTTATCGTGTGTGTGTGTGTGTGTGTGTGTGTTTGGCAAAACACGTGCAAGCTTGAACATTGATGACATAGAGATTTAGTCATTTGTATCACAAAAGAATTGTGTTTGCTATTTGAGCAATGCATGAAAACATAACATTGCTATTGAAAAATAAAACTCAATATGAAAACATTTGAAGATGAATTAGAAATGCATTTTTTTGAGAAAGTTGTCATTACAAAGAAGTAGAGAAATATGATCATGCATACTATTGAATATTTGCCTCAGTATTTAAAACTTACATGAATAGTATCCAAAACTATTATTGCTTTCTTTCCTTATCTTTAACTGTTGTACCCCATCCACTGGACCCCAAAAAGACCACACACCAAAGGACCCAACACACCAAAATGCAAAAGCAAAGGTTTATGGTTTATTCAGGCTTATGCTCGGGCTCTCAGACCTCACCAACTCAACCGATCCGTGCTGAGAGCCCAGAGTAAGGGAGAGTGGAGACTTTTATAGGTTTTAGACAAAGGGGGGAATACCGAAGATACATTTTGGTTGGTTCAAGGAGCCTGCGTTATTGGTGGGTGCTATTCTCAGGGCTGTGGAATGTGCTGACTGTTATCTGTGGGGCCAGGAGTCTCTGTTTTTACCTTATAGGGCAGTTTTCATGCTAGGGCTTGCTTAACCTATAGTTTCCTGGAAGCGGGGCGGGGGGGGGATAGCAGGCGGGGGTCAGGGCATGCCAGGGTATGTCTAGGCATGTCTAAAGCAGCAGCCAAGCATTTTACAGAAGCTAAAAGAGCAATTAGTGGGGGTCTGGAGGGATTGGGGGGTAGCGGGTGAATGAAGAGGGTCTCAGGGTTCTACATAACAACACATGACATTCTAGTCCCCTCTTCATCCACAGCAGTGATGGTGCTGCTGGGAGAGAGCCAGGGCCTTGCTAAAGGCCAGCACTAAGCTTAGCTCCAGCCCACAATGAAATTATTTATAACTGTAGCGAACAGCACCCATCACAGTAGAAATAACCTGTTTAAGCAAATGGCTTTTTTTAGTAAGACATTTTGGGGCAGAGGATGCAGCTCAACAACAGAGCACACACCCAATGTGCACAAGGCCCTGAGTTCAGTCTCTAGTACCACAAAAAGTCATTTTATTGTAGATTGTTTAGAATCATGCTTGCAATTTCTCATCAAATATTCTAAAACGAAAACTAAAAGTCAGAAATAAGAGAGGCTATCAGAGTTAGAAGGGGCTCTGGGGCCTAGTGTAACAGTGTATCTGAAGTGTTACAAAGAGCTTAAAATTACCTGGTTCCACAGTCATTGATTTTAGAGATAACTTTTATCCCAGGGTTCCAAAGCCTAAATTTTGACAGAAACATTTCTTTCCTTTTGATTATCTGTGTTACTGTAGTAAATTCCTATATCGTTGGAAATAAAGGGGATAATTGTAATTACATACCAAACTGGAATGCATGCATCTACACTGTGGGAGCAAAAGTGTGTGATGTGATGCAAGTTTCCAGATCAGGATATTGTACAGAGGAAGTGGTGGGCAGTGATTCATCCAGAAGCTGATGAAGTAAGTGAAGGTTTCTCATGTTTCTATAATAGTTCTATAATATGTGTGTGGAATTTAGGAAACATGAACCAAAGAGATTTTCAGTTGCTTAAAGCTAAGTTTTCATTATGATATTAGACAAGAGGGGTTCTTGGAAAAATTAGTTTACCCTCCTGGCTCCTGTACCACTTTTTTTTTTTTCCATTTGTTGTTGGTTTTTGTTTTTGAGACAGATTCTCACCATGTAGTTGAGGCTGGCTTGAACTGGCTGGCAATCCTGTCAGAGTAGGAGGCCAAACAACTTTTTAGAAGGTGCAATATGCAAACTTGTTTTGGTTTTAATGAGATTACAGTGGGTTTTTAGAAATTCAGCACTCTTTATAACTGTAAAATTATAATTTTTCCATCAATTTTTTTACAGATACAACCCAAACAATTGTCTGAAGGAGAAAACACAACTTCATATGTGTACTTGGAAATTGTGTCAAAGTATTTTTCAAAATTGGAAACAATATCAGTAACTTACGACAATGGATCTGTCTCCAACCATACTGACAAAAGTGTATATATGTCACAGCTGTCAGGTAAGAGTACATGATGCTTGTTTCCTTGAGGGAAAATCAGCACTATTTTTTTAAACATTATTTTGAGATATGTTCTTCCTGTAGCCCCAGTTAGCCCAGAACTTACTATGTAGACCAGGCTGGCCTTTATCTCACAGAGATTCGCCTATCTCTACCTCCTGAGTGTTGGGATTAAAGGTGTGACTGAAAATTGGCACTATTTTACAGAACTTTTAACAACTGACTTTCAGTGGAGATATGTTTCTACCTTACTTAAAAGAGATCCAATTCCTAATGACTTGTGTTTTAAAACAGCATCTTAATTACATTTATGTTTGTGTGCATGTATGCATGCGTGCGTACGTGTGTGTGTGTGTGTGTGTGTGTGTGTGTGTGTGTGTGTGTACAGGTGTCCGTGGAGGCTGGAGGACTCCCCTGGAACTGGAATTGGAAGCTGCCCTACATGAGTGCTGGGGATCCAACTCAGTTTAACTACAACAGCAACATATATATGTGATCTTAACCTCTTCCCCACTCTCCAGCCCTTCTTTTCTAAATCCTTGTACACTGTAGATACCTGCTAATCTTGTTCGATGTTGGTGAGGACAGTAGTGAGTGGAACACTCGCTGGGATGTATTCTGGACATCCCATGGTCTGGATTCTGACACAATCTCTGATCTTGAAGAAGGGATTTAACCTCTTTGAAATGTTCCTTGAAAAGTGGGGATTATTCTATCCAGCTGAGTGTTATGAAATAGTCCATCCTCCTAACAAGACTGCTGTGAGTCGAATGAACTGAGAGACATGAAAATGCTAGAGAGAAAATGATACACATGAGCTTCAGTTATAGGGCCTGGGCTCTGAGGCTCTTGGGCTGTTGCAGTGAAATGGCAGAGTCCACTTATCAGGTCTTTATGATGAGGAAAGCAAAAGCACAGAACAGGCAACATTCCACTTACTGTCCATCCCACTGTACTCAGTAACATGCTCACCATAAAAAATACAGTAAAATGCAAAGCCTGACAACTTCTGGCTACTATGCCATCGCTATGCAAAGAGAACTGCATGTAGCTAATGACTCCAGAGATTCCCAGGTTATTTCTGAATTTGGTATTTTTGTCAATGGACAAAAGAATTTTAAAAATAAATCTCATTTTAAGTACCTTTTAAAAAGATTTATTCTTCAGCAAATCTAAACATTTGGAAAATGTTTCCTGCTACTTGGAATAAGTTACTGAGTGATAACTTGCTCCTTGCAGATCTAGAACCCAGAAAGATTTCAACTTCTTTTCTAATCATACTGGACTATGGCCACTTTCATTTCCTGTAGCTTTTGTAGATTACAGAGATTTTCTATGCCTCCAATTTTTCTGGAACCTAATGGGCAGAATCAAACTTGGTTAATGCCTCAATAAAGTCTTTCCATTGTAATTTTACAGTAAATAGTTGTGATTATCAATAGATACTTTTCTTAACTAAAAGATACCCATCTCATAAATGAGAATAATGTGACTAAACAAATTCAAAGAATTACTCTTTTTCTTTCTCTCTCTCTTTTTAAACAGATGAAGGTTACAAAAAAACTGTCAGTTCAAGACTATATGAGACCACGAGACTACAACACGAAATAGAAAAAATAGGTACTCTAAAAATGTAATTGTAAAAACATGATTATAACATTCAAAAGCTGTAGAAAACGAGACATGATGTATTTTCCCAAACTAAAACACAATGTGTGAGAGGAAATATATATATGGATGTTTATTTCACCTCCCTTACAAAGGTTAATTCAAATAAATATAGTATTTCATTGGTCATATTCTTAATCCTAAGAAAATAAAATTTTAATTTCTATCTCTAGAAAGCGAAAACATTAATGCTTATTTATCACAAATATAGCTTCTCTATAAATTTGGTTTTCTAATTGAAATGACATTCTTCCACTTTGTTTTGATAAATTCTGAGATTGTATTAACTTCTGAAAATACCTAAAAATCTATTTGTTCTATTTTGCATATTTAAATTATTAGCATTTTAGATTAATCTTTGAAAACTGAGTCTAGAGGGAATTATTTAAATTGTTCATTATTGAACATATTAGAATAAAAAGTATGGATTTGGAAGTCTATGACCTGAGTTTAGCCAAGACTCATGCTTATAATATTACAATCACTGTAGACTTACGTGACTTGTATCCATTTGCATATGAGTTAATGTAGTCCTCACCTTCATTCCATGTTATTCTCATGAAAGAGAATAAGCCAGTTGTAAGGAGTCCTTAGGAAGGAGGATTATGTCCCTATGAAGGTCTCCCTGTCAGATAAGGAATGTTTGAAAAGTTGCATATTTAACTTAATGTACAAAAAGGTGCTGAATTCAAAGTGCCAGTTTCAAAAGTTAGTGTTAAAGGAATTGCCCCAAACCCTTTAACCATTCAGTGTGAGTTGGAATACATTCTCCCTGTTCTTAGAGAAGTTCCAAGGATTGGCTGGTCAGTCAACCAGCAGTAGCTTCTGTGGTCAGGGGACTCATTTGATGATAAAAACCAAGTGACTCAAGATTCCTCCAAAGACTAAGATGTTCTGACTGAGCGTTATCAAAGGCATGAGTATTATTATCATTTCAGTTGCTAAATACAGACATCCAGTGGTGAAGAAATGTTGTTATGATGGAGCCCGTCGTAATGATGATGAAACCTGTGAGGAGAGGGTTGCCCGGGTTACCATAGGCCCACACTGTGCCAGAGCTTTCAGTGAATGCTGTGTGATAGCAAATCAGCTCCGATTTTATAAACGTAAAACCCTCCAACTGGAGTCCTGTAAGTATTACATTTTGTATCAGAAGCTTCTCCAGTCTGGATAATTTTATATAATTTCATGGTGCTGAGAGGCAGTTTTCAAGCCCTATATAAAACTGAAAGTTGAGCCGGGCGTGGTGGCACATGCCTTTAATCCCAACACTTGGGAGGCAGAGGCAGGCAGATCTCTGTGAGGCCAGCCTGGTCTCCATGGTGAATCCAGGACAGCTGGGGCTACAGGGAGACCCTGTCTCAAAAAGACCAAAACAAAAAAACAAAACAAAACAAAAAACCTGAAAGTTGAAAAGCAGATAGCTTGTAAATGTTGGTAAGAAAAAGTCTTCTACAGTTCTTGGGAACTGGAAATTGGAAGTGGTTTAACACAGGGCAGAATGCATGGGTCCAGAGTCCAAACCAGGGTAAACATAAAGTCATATCGTTCTATAAATTTTATGCTTATTTATCTTCAAGACTGGATGCCTCCAATGCACCCCAGAATTCTAAACCTCCAAAGTTCTGTCATATTACAACTGTTAAGGTTGAAGGCTTACTTCAGTTTTCCCTCATTATATACTGTCAAAATTTATGGAACTTTCATTAATATGTTATCAGAACTTTTAAGGATTTCATTTATATATTGTCTTTAAGAACACTAACATGCTGTGACCCGAAGTGAGAGAGCTGACTTTGAATCACATGTGCCACGTGTCCTATACATCTTCCCCTGTGCTTCGCCAGCCTCCTGGGTGTCCTGTTGACCTGAAGACCTGGCAGGATGGGTAGCTGGACACACCTTTTTCCAGAAAAAAAGGTGAATTGTTCACAATCTTAAAATAAAATTGCAAATAAAAGAGCAGAATGAATCCTTTTTAAAAATTCCAATTGTTTTTTAGGAACTCTGTATTGGAAACATCTGTGGATACTGTGGTGTTTGAATGAGAAATTCCCCCATTGGCTTAAATATCTGTGTGCTTTTTCCATAGTTGGTGGCACTGTTTGGGGGTATTTTAGGAATTACAGCCTTGTTGGGGGAAATGTGTCACTGGGGGTAGGTTTTGATAGTTTATAGCTTTGCCCCTCTTCCTGTTTACTCTCTCTGCTTCCTGTTTGCCATTGGAGATGTGAATACTCAGCTATCTGCTTCAGGCACCTCCTACCCTCATGCTTACCCCAGTATTATGGGGTCTTCCTCTGAAACCATAAGCTCAAATAAATTCCTCCTTTTATAAATTGCCTTGGTCATGGAGTTTTGTCATAGCAACAGAAAAACAGTCAAACAAAACAGCGTGTTGTTGCTGTAAAAAACCTAACCATGTTGCTTTTCAGAGGAACGTAGAAGACTTTAGAACTTTGAACTGGGAAAGTGGCTGAATGTTGTATGCAGAGCTTAACGGACTGTTCTAGAGACCTGGCTCAAGGACATAAACAGCAAGTAGCTAGAGGCCATTCCTGTGATATCCTGGCAATGGATCTGGCTGCCCTCTGCTAGTGTCCTAAGAACTTGGCTGAGGCTAAATTAGAAAGTAATGGGCTAATTTCTTTGGTGGAGGAACTTTCAAGACAGTCTGACATTTAATCTGTGGCTTGATCATTAACAATGATGCTTATGCAGGTCTAAAACAAAAAGGAGCAAGTGGGGTGAAAGACATACAAAATGTACAGTCTGGAGAGAAGTCAAGCTCTGGAAAACTTGTTGCATCTGTGGTGTGTGCTGGAAGAGAGGCTGTCACTGTTAAGGAGTTGTGCACCATTAAACCTCCTGCTATACACTCAAACAATGGGAAGTGTGCCCTCAGGGCAAGAACCATCTAACTCAGCTTCCATCTTGTGAAAGGAAAAAGGCCTAAGTAGTTTTCTGCACCTAGAATACAACTGCTTGGATCTTGTGCATGCTGTCACCATTACTTCAAGTTCATATGAGCATGTTCCCAGTGGCTCAAAAGCCCGTTTCCTTATGTTCGTGCACCAACCGTGGCTCTTACAATCTTTTCTCCCCCTCTTCTGCAATGGTCCCTGAGCCATGGGTAGGTGAGATTAAATGTAGGAGCCCTGTCCAGGGACATGCACTCTGCAGTCTCTTGTTCTCTATAACTTAGCCAGTTGTGACCTTCTGTGTGCATCACAATCTGTTATATGAGGAAGCTTTGTTTGTGAGATTGAGGGATGTATTAGCATTCTCTCTACCCCATGTTCTGATATGTTCCATGAGCCTTAGGTGCAGAGGTTTCACTGTAGATGTGTCACTCAGTACTGGGCATCTCTCAAACATATAGTCTCTATGTGTGACCAGTTATGGAACTATGTCATAGCCTCCATCTGTTGTAAAAAGGAGCTTCTTTGATTAATGGTGTATGGAATATTTGTTGGCAAATATAAGGCTCCATATATAGCATATGGTAAGAAATTTCACTTGTCTAAAGATATGCCAGAGATAGGGTTTTAGGGACAGAGGATCTATGTCCTCTCCAAGCTTTGTGTATTTGACTGTTTTTACAGTGCCACCCATGAATTCCCTCACTAAGAGGGTTTTAAGTCCAATTAGATAGGCATTGATTAGCCGCTAGATAAAAGTGCCACTACTGCACCAATGGAGACAGCTTGCTGTGCCAGTGGTTATGGTTATTAGGCTTCAGGGCTAGTTTTGACCATTGAATGATTTTCTCCCTTAGCCATTTCCACAGTATATTCTAGAACTATGGGAGCTAGTATTCAGGAAAAAGCCTTGACAGAATGCATGAAATCCAGTGGGGGTGGCTATAAGGGCACAGATGGAGGAGAGGGTCTAAATTTGATTAAGATTTGTTATATGAAATGTACAAATACTCAATAAAATATTTCAAAATAAAAATTTAAAAAGGAAAAACTCAAATTACTGGCAGTGTCATGTAACTAGAAGGATATAAGGAAAATAGCTTATTTTTAACCTACACAAAAAATAGGCTACATATTGGGACACAAAGAAAATCTCAATAAATATAGAAAATGAAATAACTCCTTGTACTCTATCTGACTACAATGGAATAAAGCTTAAAATCACTTTCATAAAAAATCTACAGAAAAAGATACACAAACTCATGGAGATGAAACAACACAATATTATGTATAGAAATCATGAAGCATATAAAAAGTTCTAGAATTAAATAAAAATGAAAGTGGTGTACCAAAACCTCTGGAATACAATGAAAACAGTCATGAGGAGAGTTTACATCACTAATTACCTACATTAAAAATATTAGAGAGAACTCAAATGAGTGACTTAATTAACCACCACCATAAGAGTTTGGAACAACAGGAGCAAACTAACACCCAAAACAGCAGAAAAGAAGAAAAAGTTGATTCTCCTTGTTGAGAATCTTTGAAGTTCATAGCTCTTTCAATGTTTCTAGCAAAGAGATGCTAATAATTTGAAATGACTTTCAGTATAATTTACACTGTCCCACAAGCCAATTTCTTTGCCCTTGGAATTCAAACATTGCCTTATATTGATTGGAGTGTTCTTTCCCAGTTTCAATTTTCATTTCCTGAAAGTGATGGTAAAGGTACTTTGTTTCTATTTGACCCATCTTTCACAACCCAGATTAATCATTTTACAGATGTTCTTTTGAAATAAACCTAGAGGGTTGGACAATATTGGTGGAATTTTACAATTTCCAGGACACATGTAAGAGACACTTTCAGTGAAATTTGCATATCAATTGTGCTTTTGTTCCTTGCCACCCTTAACAAGTTAAGTATAAAAGTGTTGGTAAGTAGGAAATTATTAATTCAAAGCAAGTGATGAAAATGTGACTGCAAAAATCTATTTGTACAAATATGTCTGGAGACGTTTATTTTATTTCAAAGAACGAACACCTTTATTAAGAGAGAAAAATGATGAAAGCAAGATATAAATAAAGCATCGTACTGAATAGATCTCATTCTCTAACTTAATTACAAACATAGGGTAAAATTTTACTTTTAAATTAGTTAATGGACTTAGTTGTCACATGAGTTATAGTTGTCACATGAGTAATAACATGAGTTATTAAAATATTAATGAATGGTATGAATTTTTGAATAAAATACTCCTTGTCTGAATGAATGCCAGTTTGAATGTGTGGAACATGAATTAACAGATATGGGAATTTGTACGTTCCCTGCTAAATACTAAAGTGTCTGATTCCTTAGAGAATAATGCCAGCATCCTCAGCATAACATGGTCACAGCATCATGTCTTCTCTACGCTGGGGCAGAAAAGGAAGTATTCCTCGGAACCCCTTGGAAGATCTTGGTGATCCTTAGACCATTTCCCAGACCAAGGTTGCTGCCACTCAGGTCTTCCCTAAAAAAGACCACCTTGTTAGCCTTGTCTAATTCAGGCCCATCCTAAAATCATACCAACTTGAAATTAAATCCAGACAGTTCTCTGTCAGGACTAGAAATAATTAAAACCCTTCAGAGATAGTGTCAAAGTTTGAATCTGTAATGTCCCCCAAATTATTACATGTTTCCGTTTTCTTTGTCATCTGACAGGGCCTTATTGAAGGCACTGCATCATGAATTACCACATACAATGATGGCTCATTGTATACTGACCTTAGTGGGAAGTGGTGACGACATAGGAGGCAGAGCCTGTTTCAGGAAGTAGGTCACTGGGCGCTTCTTGTTTCTGGCCCTGCTGGCCTTCTCTCTTTCTCTGAGGTGAGCGTCAGCGCTCCCCCACATGCTCCCTCTTCAAATCTGTCTCACTGTGCTGGGGCCCAGAAGCAATGGGGAAAGTGACTATGGACTGAGACCTCAGAATCCCTGAGCCAAAATATTTCTTTCATCTTTAAATTGTTTTCCTCAGGTATTTGTCACAAGGAGGAAAAACTGACCAGTACAGGCATGCTCAAAGACATTAGAACATCAGAGCAAATGACCTGGTGCCGAGAACGAGGACCAAAAGCCACGTGACTCCTAACTTCCAGCACTGAGCCTTTCTCCACAGTGCCAGGCTTCCCATGACAATCCTTACGTTGTGTTAATAAAAGCAAATCCTCTGGGTGTAAATTCCTATGAAATACCTCTTATCGATGTTCCTAGGCATGAAAGGGTGTTTTAGTTCTGATTTTGTTTTCGTATTTAGTAATCCCTTTTCCTGGCATTAATAATTAACAAGAAAATTAATTTATCCCTCTTTTCCAAGTTCACTTTACTTAAAAGGAAGTGACTTCCAGGAGGAGATCTCTGTGGGTTTTGTACCATCTCAAGGCATGGGCCTTTGGGGAATACTTTGGTTTTTAATCCTCCTGGGGACAAGCTGGGGACAGGAACAAAGGTAAGTGAAGCTAACCGGCTTCATTTTATCATGCATATGATTGTGATGGATGAAAAGCAGATTCAGCAGATTATGTTAATATTTAAAATATTTTCAGGGGGCTGGAAGGAGAGATGGCTCAGCAGTTAAGAGCACTGGCTGCTCTTGCAGAAGACAAGGGTTCTAATCTCCGCACCCACATTGTAGCTAACCACAGAAAAACAACTGGAGATCCTCTTACTAAGCCTATTCATTTTGTATATGAGAATACACCCAGATAGGGGAAGTGGCTGGTCAAAAGTCTTGCTGTTGGAGAGTCGGCAGGGCTTTATCAAAGTCTTTACAAATTCATTCCTATTTTCAATGTACGGATATGAATAGATTATAAATGTACCAAACACAGGATGTGATTAATTGATACCCCTCTTCATCCCTAGTCTTTGATTTTATCACCTGGCAACAATCACTCCATTATCTTCGGTAACTTTTACTCCATTTTGAATGACAAGCAGCTCAACATCAGCGATGACAAGATTGATTGACATCACATTAGTAGCAGAACTAGGCCAGAACCTGGGCCTCCATGATTCTTGTCTAGAAATATTCTGCATTCTTTCTACTCGACTGCATTGGCCCTTTAAAAAGGTGATGCCTCACTTTCTCTGAGAAAGTAAGAAAGTGCACCATGTCCAACATGGTAATTAATCACCTAATGGATTGACTGATGCAACAAATATCTATTGAGCACTTACCACTTGATAGGCTAGAGCTGCATTCTAGTGGGAAAAGCGGATGATGCATGAAGGGACCAATGAAATAATAAGGATGAGTAGTTCCAAGGGCTAGGGCATGAAAAAACATGAAGATGCAGAAATGAAAGGTCGGGATATAAAGGTGTGGACAGGGAAAGTTCTCAGTGGAGGTGACACAAAGAGCTTGAAGAAACAGGAGCAAGCCGTGCACTAATCCAGGGAAAGCATGCTGGGTAAAGGCAGAGTAAACATTCCTACTGATCTTCTTCTGATACTTAAAGAATACAAACGATGAAATCCTTCAAATGAAAAGTTTATGCTGCAGACATATCAATGAGGATCAAAATGTGTATGAAGAGAAGATCCACAGCCAGATGTACGGGCTTCGAAACCCTCAGTATTTTACGTCTTACCACTCCCATCACATTGACAAGGGGAAGAAGTGTTGAACTCAGTAGTGCAAGGTTTCTAAGTATACTGGTGTTAATACAGCTTTTTGTTTTCAAGTTTTTCTAATTTCAAAATTCTGAGTAAGTTCAGTTTAGGACAGCTATTGTAAATATTAACTCTGGATACAGACTGTTTAGTTTGGTCCTTAATCTCTTACTTAGTAGCTCTGTGACCCAGGATAAGTTAATAGTGGATATCTCATCTTAAAATAAGAGCTACAGTGAGGCCCTCCTTACAGATGGTTGCAGTAGCCCAGGGAGAGGTGTTTGTACAGTCTTTAGAATGGTGTCTGCACAGTGAGAGGTTTCTGTAAATGAGTCTCATTACCATTTCTCACTTTCTGTGTCTGGGCTAAGTATATGATATTGGATAATATAAGTCTGGTGATTGTTCAACTGACCTATAAAAGGCTTCAAACTAATTATGTAGGAGAACTTCCAGATTCTTTTTTAAAAATATTTTATTTATTATTTTTATTTTATGTGTATGTGGGTATTGCCTGCATGTAGGTAAGTGCACCTGTGTCATGCAATGCCCACAGAGGACAGAAGAGGCTGTCGGATCCCCTGGAACTGTAGTTATGGACAGTTGTTAGCTGCCATGTGGGTGGTGGGATTCAAACTTGGGTCTTCTGCAAGAACAGTGTTCTTAACCGCTGAGCCATCTCTCCAGCCCCAGAACAGCCAGATTCTTTAAAGCTCTTTAATGGTGGCAAACTACACTCATTGTTACTAAAGACCTTCTGATTGTTAAAAAAAATTTTAAATGTTATATTGGCAGGAGCCTGCAACGATTTTTATGTGGGGTGGTGAATACACCCCTTGTCTTCTGGAAAACTTGAATATGGGAACCCATGAACCCTTTGGGGTTGTTACACAATTCTCTTCTGTGTAGTGACATGCACAGCCCTCTCTATTCTGATTAAGTGATATATTATGATTGTTTGTGATTGAAAATCTCATCTAACAAAATAAAGAACATCATATACATTAAAATTTGTGTTTCAGCCAGGCGTGGTGGCACACGCCCTTAATACCAGCACTTGGGAGGCAGAGGCAGGCAGATCTCTGTGAGTTCAAGGCCACCCTGGTCTACATAGTGAGTTCCAGGACAGATGGTGCTACAGGGAGACCCTGTCTCAAAAAGACCAAAAAAAAAAAAAAAAACCCTTGTGTTTCAAAGCTAATATGAATTCAGTTCTATTTTTGTATGAATTGCATTAAAAAGAAACAAGAGGAGGGAAGAGTCTATGGTTGAACTACTCTTGCAACCTTGACAGCAGTTATAAACAAGGAAACTGAGAGAGCCCTGAACATGAAGTCCTTGTTCACACAGAAGCCATTTGACCATGATCAAATCATTTTTGATCACAAGTAAAATGGGAATAACAGTATCCAGAGCATCAGTGAGTTCTTGTGAGGTCTGAAATGGCTCCATGCAGTCCTATCATAGCCTGACCTATAACTACTCAGTCACTGTCATAATCATTGCTGTACCACGGTGCTGTGCTACTGCTGATTAGCTCAAGTCCATCACTTCAGTTTCTAAATAGGTGACTCCAGCTCACCCATATTGAATGTTTGTCCTTACCCACCTCCTTGTGTAACATAATATTTCTAAGATCACCTCCTTTTGACAACCTTAGTGACTGTCATTATGTATTGAGGAATAGCATGCCGCGTGCCTATAGACATGTTCTCATTTAACCCCACTATAGCCTAGAAAATAAGGTGATATCACAGAGACATTATTTTTGTCTCAGAAAAGGCTAGTGATGTCACCTCACTGAGCCAGCAGGAGACAGATGGTATTCAACAATGGGTGTGTATCTGATATTTTTCTTCATTGATGGAAAAAACAATCCCACTTACATGTTCTAGTCAGTGTCTTCCCTGGGTACAGTGGGACTGGAAGGCACCGCGACTGCCTTTCTAAATAGAAATCAAGCTCCCAGCTCTGTTTCTTAGGATTAATTGTAAGTTATTTCTTCTTGGAAACTATGCTGAATTTGTCATAGATCACAAAATAAAATTTATTATATAGTTTTAAGTTGAAAGATGTCTACTTGAAAATGGATCACAAATGAGATAAAAGGTATCAGAAATATAAGAATTTGTGACATAAAAATATAGAAACTTTTCTTCTCTTGTTTCAATAGATATGTTATTTTGGCACCAGAAGTCTTCCATGTTGGAGCATCTGAAAATATTACAATTCAAGCTCATGGATACACAGAAGCATTTGATGCTACAATCTCTATAAAAAGTTATCCTGATGAAAGAGTAAATTATTCTTCAGACTCTGTTAATTTATCACCAGAAAACAAATTCCAAAACTCTGCAAACTTAACAGTATGTATTCATCTTTCATCTTTTTTATATCTTCAGAATGTTTTTGGTAAAATATATACAAGTTTGTATATTGATAACATAGAGATCATTTGTATCACTCTACCATTGCCTTAGCAGATGATTGTCAGGAGGTAATAATAATCTGAGTGAAACAAAGTTTTAAGCAAAAGAAATTTGTTTTTTTAGCAAATTGTTAACATTTTTAATATTTTATTTTTATTATCTTTATTTATTTTATGCATATGAGTGTATCACCTGCATGTATATAAGTACACCTGTGTCATGCAATGCCCATGGAGGTCAGAAGAGGGCATCAGATCCCCTGAAACTGAGGTTAGGATGGTTGTTAGCCGCTATGTGGGTGCTGGGAGCTGAACCCAGGTCCTCTGCAAAAGCAGTCAGTGTTCTTAACCACTGAGCCATTGCTCTTAACTGCTGAGCTACCTCTCCAGCCCTGCAAATGTTAACATTTTTGTAGGAAAAAAATATATCAATAGGAACACATTTGGAGATGATCTAGAAATATATTTATAGGAAAATTGTCATTACAAAGTAGAGAAACATGAATATGCAGACTGTTGAACATTTGAGTAAACCAGTATTCTGTAGTTAAATGAATAGCATCTCAAACTATTAAAATCATTGTTTTCTTTCTTTCTTTTTCTTTTAACAACATATGAGTTTCCACCCCAACCCCCAACTCCAGTGGTGATGGTGCTGTTGGGGACAGAAACAGGGCCTTATGTTAGGCCAGCACTCTGCCACTGAGCTACAGTTCCAGTCCCCAATGAAATTATTGATTCCTGCAGTGAATAGCTCTCTTTGAAAATCCACGATAGAAATAACCAATTTAAACAAATGACCTCCTTCTATTAAGACATTTTTGGGGAAGGGCTCACAGTTAAGTGGTAGAGCATTTCTCTAGTTTGCACAAGGCTCTGGGTTTAATCTCCAGTACCACAAAAGTCATTTTAGTGTAGATAGTTTACAATCATGGTCACAGCTCATTTCTTATTTAAAATTCTGGTAATAACCCCCAGAAAAATGATAGAAGAATTGGAAGGAGCTTTGGGGCTCATTAGAGCAGTGTTTCTTTAAAGTGAGAACTCTATAAATAAACTAAAAATAAGACTGTAATAAAGAGCTTAAAATTAGAATTGTACTAATTTTGAAATATTTAAAAACTTTTATGGATTTATTTTTATTTTTAAATATCAAAAATCATAGGCATATAACCCTAATATGAGTGTATATATTTGAGTCACATTATGATCGATTGTTATTACATTGTACATAACAAACTGTCAAAACTGCAAGTCCTCCATATCTTTTATTCTTTAAAATGGATACACACACACACACACACACACACACACGTTTGAGAAATGTTGATCTAAATAAATGCTGAGCAGTTACAACCACAAATCACAGGATTTATTTCATTAATGCTTTTGAGAACTAATGTGCTAATCTCGGGGCTGGAGAGATGGCTCAGCAGTTAAGAGCACTGGCTGCTCTTGTAGAGGACCAGAGTTCAATTCCCAGCACCCACATGGCAGCTAAGAACTGTCCTAACTCCAGTTCCAGGGGCTCTGACGACCTCTTCTGACCTCCACGGGCATTGCACAACACGGGTGCACTCACATACATTCAGGAAATACATTCTATACACATAAAATAAAAATAGTAAAAATGTATTGTGATAATCTCTTTAAAATGTACTTGTATTTATTAGGTTTATAGAAAATTAAAATTCATTTCCCACAGTGTTACTTTCTATAGACACTCTGCTCTGATGCAAAGCAGCAACTAGCCACATTTGCCTTTTGATTCAAATCAATTCAATGTAGCTGACGTTACACTTCAGTTCCTCAGTGACACTAACTCTCCACATTGTCGTGCTGGAGCGGCCATATATGAGTAGTGGCCACAGTGTAAGGCAGCATGGCTACAGCATCATCACAGAGATTCTACTCAACAGTCACATTGTCAACTGAGGGAGTCGGTGAAGATGGGGATCATAAACACTGATACATAAGGACTTCATTTCATCCTGAACTCTAAAGCGTCTTTTTCCTATGTATTTGGTACTGTTGCAAGTCTTATCTTTGAGACCACTGTCAAACCTTCTATATTACAATTTATAGAAGTCATTTTTAGTCTGTAACTTGTTTCTTAAAATTAGAGAACAGACTTAAAGACATATGTAAAATATCTCAGAGCAGGAAATCTACAGATTTTTATTGTTTTCCATATTTCTACATTAATCTCACTGTACTGAATTCTACAGCGCTTGGCTTCAAAGATTAACTCTTATCCCATGGTTCCAAAGTCTACATTTTCATAGAAACATCTCTCTCTCTCTCTCTCTCTCTCTCTCTCTCTCTCTCTTTATTTTCTGTTACTGTATTAAATTCCTATATTATTGATTGGGATAATTATTGACTCGGGGATAATTGTAATTACATACCCAAACTGGAATGCATGTATGCACACTGTGGGAACAGAAGTGTGTGACATAACACAATTGACCAGACCATCAGTCAGGAGATTGTGCAGAAAGAGTGGGAAACATGGATTCATCCAGAAGCTGATGAAGTGAAGGTTTCCTACATTTCTCTAGTGGTCATTCTATGAAATACCTGTGAATTTAGGAAACACGAACCAAGGGGATTGTCAGTTGCTTAAATCCAAGTATCTATTATGATATTAGACAATGAAGGACTCTTGGAAAAACTAATTTATTCTTCTGGCTCCCAACCATTTTTTATTTGTTTGTTTGTCTGGTTGGTTTGATCTTTTTGAAACAGAATCTGACTATGTAGCCCAGGCTGGCAACCTTCTTCCATAACTTACTGAATAGTAGACTGTACCACTTTTTACAGATGCAATATACAAGTTTCTTTGGGTTCTAATGAGATACTGTCGATTTTTAGAAAGCCAGCATTCTTTATAAACTTCAAGTCATATTTTACTGTCCATTTTTATAGATCCAACCCACACAATTGTCTGGAGGAGAAAACTCAACTTCATATGTGTATTTGGAAATTGTGTCAAAACATTTTTCAAAACTGAAAAAAATGCCAGTATTGGATAGCAACAGATCGCTCTTCAACTATACAGACAAATTCCTATACACCCCACAGCACTCAGGTAGAGTACACGATGCTTGTTTCTTTGGAGGGAAACTGACACTATTTTGTACTACTTTAAACATCTGAAATTGAACAAAAACATATTTCTACCTTGTTTAAAAGAGACTCAATTCCTAATGACTTTTACATTGTCAAGTAGCATTTTAATTTTTATTACATTTATTTTTTACCTTGTGTATATATGTGTGTATGCATACTTGTGCCTCTACATGTATGTGGACTGTGGAGTTCATAACTTGCAGGACTTGGTTCTCTCTTTCCAAATTGTGGGTCCAGAGACTAAAACTCAGTTCATCATGAGTGACAGGAAGTGCCTTTACTTCCTGAGCTATCTCAGCCACCCAGGATTTTATCTTTCATTTTATAGAGGAATTGCTAAATTAATTTCAACATCAATAATAATATTATATACCCTATGAGAGGACTTGCTTAAAGTAATTCTGGCATTTGGAATATATTTATCTTAAAATCATCTTTGTAAAAGTATAATTTGATTCTGAGAATAATCTCCAAATTAGAAAAACAGATCTAAATCAAAATGATTAGATGTTTTGACAGACAATAAACCACATCACAGAAATTACAGGTACTAATGTCTAAGGTTATCTACACAAGAAAGTAATATTTCACATTCATAGTTTTACTGTTGGGGGGAAGGGCACAATAGCCAGCCGCAGCCCTGTGACTGAGTAAAGCCTGTAGTCTTCCTCAATGAACCTAAAATGAGACACAAAAAAATGTGACCACTGCCCAGTTTGTTCACGTACTGCAGAAGCTTCCATTTTTTCACCCTCTACTGTCATCATTGGGCTATGAAGAAGTCAGAGGTGGAATTATGAGAGACGTACATGTGACAGGGAGTGTCCGTAGTAGTACTGGTGGGAAAGAGAAAGAAGGTGTGCTCCTCGTTCTGTTTTTTTTTTGTTTGTTTGTTTGTTTGTTTGTTTGTTTGTTTTTAACCTTGCACACAGTAGACTCGGGGTCATCTTGGTGGATGTTGATGATGTCAGTAGTGAGTTGGGCTTTGTTCTGAGCATTCTGTGACCTGGATTCTCTCTCATGCTATCACCTTGGAAAAAGGGATTTCAACTCTTCGAGACTTTACTTGAAAAATAAGAATTATTCTATCTAGCTCAATGTCATGAAATAATCCAGGCACTGCCTCCTTAACAAGATTGTTGTGAGTTGAATGAAGTGATAGATGTTAAAATGCTAGATATAAAATGATAAAACATGAGCTCTTAGTTACGGGCCTGGGTTCTGAGGCTCTTGGGCTGTTATAGTGAAATGGTAGAGTCCACTTATTAGGTTTTTATGATGATGAAATTAAAAAGCACAGAAGGCATGCAGGGTTCCACTTGTCTCCAACCCTTTGTTCCCTTAATGTGTACTCAATAAAGTGTTCTTCCTATCAAAATAAAAGGCATAGACAACTTCTAGCCACCATGGCCTCGCTATACAGAATGGGAACCACTCATAGTTAATTACTCTAGAGAGTCCTAGTTTATTTCTGGATTTTTATATATTTCATGGACAAAGGACTTTGTTCTTCAACAAATCTAACATTTGAAAACTATTGCTCCTACTTTGAGTAACTTACTAAATGATAGCTGTTCCTTTCAGACTGAGGACTCATAAAGGCTTCTAACTTCTTTCCTCATCACACTGGACTATGGCCAATTTCATTTTCTGAAAGATGTAACTTTTGCAGATTACCTGTTTTTTCTATACTATATTAGTTACTTTTCTGTTGCTGTGATAGAAAAACCATGACCAAGGATGCTTATAAAAGGAAGAGTTTATTTAGCGAGGGTTCCAGAGGGGCACGAGTCCATCAGGGCAGTGAGACACGGCAGGAGGCAGCCAGGGCGGAAAGCTGAGGGCTCACATCTTCAAGCAGGAACAGGAAGTGGAGCACAACTCGGGTACAGAAAGGCTTAAGAACTCTCTAAGCCCGCCCCAGTGAAGTGCTTCCTCCAGCATGGCCACACTTTCTAAGCCCCCCAAAAACAGTGCCACCAAGTGGAGACAAAATGTTCAAATACTTTTGAACTTACAGGGGACACTCTCATTCAAAACACCACATACACCTTCAATTTTTCTGGAAACTAATGGGTAGAACCCAACATAGTTAATACAATAAAATCCTCCCATTGTAATTATACAAAGGAGCTTTGATTATTTATGGATCATCTTGATAACTAGAATTTACTCATCTCAAAAATGAGAATATGACTAAGAACAAATTTTAAAGAAATGTCCCTTTTCCCTTTTCTTTCTGTTTCTCTCTTTTTCAAATAGATGAAGCTTATGAAGAAATTACCAATTCAAGAATTGATGTGACAGCAACTTTAAAAGAGGAAATGGAGCAAAGAGGTATTCTAAAAGTTTAATGTGGTTGCAAAACATGATTATAGCATTCCAAGGCTTTGGGGAATGAAACAGCATGTAATTTCCCCTAAATAAAATACAGTGGTAAAAAGAAAGACATAATTGGAGGTTTGGTTCACCCCCCTCATAAAGGTTAATTTAAATTAATACTCTATTGACCATATTCTTAATCCTAGAAAAATACATCATTTTTATTTGTATCTCTGAATAGCTAAAATTTCAATGTTTATTTGTCACAAATATATCATCTCTATTAACTTTGTCTTCCTGATAAGGTGATATTCTTCCATTTTATTTTAATAAATTCCATGGTTTTATTGAAATAAATTTCTTGAAATAATTGGGGCATACCTTGAAATAAATTTCTTCTATTTTATGTATATAAATTATTAACATTTTAGATTATACTTTGAAAATGGAGTCTAAAGGGAGGTATTTAAATTTTTCATCATTGGACAACTTACAATACAAAGAACGTTGATTTGGGAGTCAATGGTTTGAGTTAATTATGACATTGTGATCACTGTAGACTTACAGTGACTCGTATCCTTTTGCATATGAGTTACTGCAGTCCTCACTTTCATTCTGTGTTTCAATCATGAAAAGGAAGAAGCTGGTTGTGCTGAGCCCATAGGAAGGAGGATGATGTCCCTACGAAGGTCTCCTTGTCAGATAAAAAATGTTTGAAAAGTTGCATATTTAACTCAAAGTTCTAGTTTCAAAAGTTAATGTTGCCCCAAACCCTTTAACCCTTTCGTGTGAGTTGGAAGGGACTGCCTGGTGAGGTCACATTCTCTCTGTTCTTGGAGACATTCCAAGGATTGGCTGGCCAGTCAACCAGCAGTGGCTGCTGTGGTTAGGGGTTCATTTGATGGTAGAAACCAATAAGCCTTGAGATTCCCCCTAAGACAGATGTTCTGACTCTGCGTGATCAAGGGCATGTGTGTTATTACTATTTCAGCGGCTAGATACAAACATCCGGTGCTAAAGAAATGCTGTTCCGATGGAGCCCATCTTAATCACCATGAAACCTGTGAGCAGCGAAGTGCTCGGATTACCATAGGCCCACGCTGTGTCAGAGCTTTCAGTGAATGCTGTGTGAGAGCAGAAAAAATCCGAAGTAAAGACACTCACAAAGAAATCCTACTTGGAATGAGGCCTGGTAAGTATGACATTTTGTATCAGAATCTTCTGAAAACTGGATAATTTTGTGTAAATTAATGTTACTAAGTAAGGCAGCTACCAGGCTCCAGTTAAAATTGAAAATTGAAAAGCAAATAACTTGTAAATTCCAGCAAGAAAAGGGCTGTTGTCTCTCTTGGGAACTGGAAGTGGCATAGCACACAGCACAGAACACTGGTCCAGAGCCAAGACCCAGTGTGAACCTAAAGTCAGCTTGCTCTATAAACTTTAGTGAGTATCTGTGCTCAAGACTAAATGTCTCCAATATGTCCTAGAATCCTAAAACTCCATGATTCTGTCATATCACAACTATTAAAGTTGAGTCTTACTTTAGTTTCAGCCGTGTTAGGTGCCATCAGATTTTATGTTTCATTAATATGTTTTCAAAACTTTTAAGACTTTCATTTTTACAGTTTCTTAAAATAACATTTCAATAATGTGAAATTAGAGAATATGGTAATCTCTGATGATTTAAAGTTTACTTACAAAAGTCTGTTTTGCGTAATTTTTCTCAGTAATGTATCTAATACAAATTGCTTCTGGATGAAGATGAGGCAACCTGGAGGGTCTCTGAGGGGAAGGGGTGCTGTCTGAATGCCTGGGGTCTACTTCCGGCATGCCTTGTTAACACTGAGAAAATCCACCAACTTCTCTAGGCTGGAATTCTTCATGATAGACTTGAAAGAGATGTAGACCTCTGAGGACTCTGACTTATTAAGGTCCTTTCTAGACAGGATGGTAGGAGAAACAAACTATTAGAGATGAAATGAGTGGAACTCATTAAGATAAGTAAATGATTAATTTAAGTTAATCAGGATGTTAAGATGTTTTAGGGACAGACCTGTTTATAAGCAACGGGACAGCAGTCTGTCTCTGCATAGTCTTACACTTCTTTATAAGCTTGTCCCACCCCCAGCAGTGTGAGCTCTTCAAGAGCAGGGATTATGTCTCAATCAATCACCATCTTTCTATTGTTTTTTAGAATTCGCCTATTTATATATATTACTGTAGTTATAATTATTTTGTAATAATATAGCTAAAAGAGCTAATTAGAAAATAAATTATCCAACTAAATATTTAATTTAAATGCTTAGGTGTTTCACTGTAGTCAATAAATGAGAAGGATTGAAGGATCTAGAACTGAGCTCAGATAAAAGAAATCAAACTATACAATGCCACATCATGAGCTCCACTGCAATAAAATAAGTTACAGTAGCAGGTGTAGTCACAGCACCTGACCCAAAGTAGCCTCTTGATATAGATGTGTTGAATAATCGTTTTGTGAGCATCACTACTGGAGATCAAGATGCAAAATAAAGTACAAAGTTCCATGGACTTGTTTTTAAAAGACTTTGTGCCCTCCATTTCTCTCTCTTTCTCTCTCCCTCTCTCTCTCCCTGCTTCCCTCCCTTCCTCTCTGTCTCCCTCCCTCACTTCCTCTCTGACCTCCTCCCTCCCTCCCCATTTAGAGCACTCCAAAGAACTCATCAGGAAAAGAAGAGACAAGATGGTCCTGTCACAGACAATAGAAGAACAAGGTGCTCTACAAGTTTAATGAGATTGTGAAAACATGATCATAGTGTTCAAAGGCTGGAGAAAATGAAACGTGTGGTTTCCTTTAATTAAGATGCAATGGGTGAGAAGAAAGACATAGTTGGAGGTTTATTTCATATCCCTCAGAAAGGCTCAACAAAATAAATACAATATTTCATTGGCCATATCCCTAATCTGAGGAAAATGAGGTTTTATTATTTTTGTGACTAAAAGCTAAAATTTTAATGTTCATTTGCCACAAATATAATCCTCTCTAGATATTCAGTATTCTGATTTAGATGATATTTTCCATTTTCTGATTAAATTCTGTGATTTTATTAACTTTTGGGCCTATCTAGAAACCTATCTCTACTATTTTAAATATTAAATTATTAGCCTTTTAGATTAATCTTTGATAATGAGTCAAATGAGAATTATTTAAATGATTCATCATTGGACATCTTAGCATAGAATGAACTTTGGGATTCTGTGACCTAAGTTCAGCCAATAACCGTGCTTATCATAATGTTATAATCACTGTAGACTTCCAGTGGCTCGTACTGCATTTGTACATGAGTTACTGCAGTCATATCCTTCATTCTGTGTTGTAATCATGAAAGGGAAGAAGCCCTCCTGAAGAAGGATGCTGTCCCTGTGGAGGTCTCCCTGTCAGATATGTTTGAAAAGGTTGTATCTTTAACTTAATGTGCTCAAAGATGCTGAACTCAAAGTACTAGTGCAAAAGTTACTGTTTAGCTAGTTGCAGGAAGCCCCTAACCACTTACTGTGAGTTGGAAGGGACTACCTGGTGAGGTCACGTTCTTCCTGTTCTTGGAGAAGTTCCAAGGAGAGGTTGAAGTCAGCCAGCAGTGTGTGCTGTGGTATAGGGGTTATTTGATGGTACAAACCAATAAACCTTGAGATTCCTCCTAAGCCAGAGATGTATGACTGTACATGATCAATGGTGTGTGTATTATTACCATTTTAGCTGCTAAATACAGATATCCAGTGGTGAAGAAATGTTGTTATGATGGAGCCCGTTATGATGACCGTACATGTGAAGAGCGAGCTGCCCAGGTTACCATAGGCCCACGCTGTGTCAGAGCTTTCAGTGATTGCTGTGTGATAGCAAATCACACTTTTAAACGTTTTACGCTCCACTCATCGGAGAGTAAGTATGACATTTTCTATCCAAATCTTCTCCAATTTGAATAATTTTATGTAAATTAATGTTGCTAAGAAAGGCAGTTTTCAGGCTTTAGTTAAAACTGAAAGTTGCAAAGTAAAAAACCTGTAAATGCCCATTAGAAAAAAAAATCCATGTCAGGTGTGGTGGTGCATGTCTTTAATCCCAGGACTCGGGAGGAAGAGGCAGGTGGATCTCTGTGAGTTCGAGGCCAGCCTGGTCTACATAGCAAGTTCCAGGCCAGCTGGGGCTATAGGGAGACCCTATCTCAAAAAGACCAAAAAGAAAAGAAAAGGAAAAAAAATCCATTACCTTTGGATTTTTAAATTGGAAGTGGCATAGTACACAGCAGAGAACACTGATCCAGGCTCAAGACCCAGTGTGAACCTAAAGCCAGCTCGTTCTGTAAACCTTAGTGATTTCCCATCCTCATAGATATACCTACTTCACTCTTAAAGTTGAAGTCTTATTTCACATTTAGAGATGTTATGCTGTCAGAGGTATTCATTCACTTTTTAAGCTTTTAAAATATTATTTTATTTTATTGTGTGTACGAGTGTATTGCCTGCCTGTAAGTGAGCACACCCATGCCATACAATGCTGTGGAGGTCAGAAGAGGGTGTCAGATTCCCCTGGAACTGGAATTAAGGACGGTTCTTAGCTGCCATGTGGGTATTGGGAATCAAATCCAGGTCCTCTACAAGAGCAGCCGCTGAGCCATCTCTCCAGCCCCTCATTTTTAAAGCTTTTAAGAGTCTCATTTCTACATTGTCTTTAAGTAAACAGCTAAACTGTGTCCATGAAGTAAGAGAGCCAGCTTTCAACATGAGGGTGCCCCATGTCCTGCACACCATCCTCTGTGCTCCAGGCTTGGCCTGCCTCCTGGACAAACTCTTGACCTGAAGCCCTGGCAGTCTGGGAGATTGGATACACATATTTCTCTTTTTGGCTATCATCAATTTCCAGAAAAAAAGTGAATTATTCATAACTTAAAAAAAAATAAAAAGACCAAAAAGCAGAATGATATGTCTTGTTTCTATTCTGATTATTCTTTCTTAACTGTGTGTTAAACATTGTCCCTGGATACCT